CAGCATATCCGGCGACTCTTTCAGCAGCGACGCGGTCAGGAACAAGGCTCAGCTGGCTCAGCACACTTGTAGCTACGGGGGTGCTGCTCGCGCGAGGTGGAGCCGTGGGTATATCGACTACTTCAGGCGAAATCTTTGACAAGAAAATCGCGGCTCCACCGCCGCTGGCAAAGAAGGAAGCTCTTGCTTGGGAGGAGGCGCAGCGTGACAAGCTGCTCTAAACTCTAAACGAACCGCCTGGTCATTCACGCCGTGGACGACAAGACCAACCTAGCGTACCGGAAGGCGGTGCGGGAGTTTCTGGTGGACGTGAAGAAGAACCATATCGACTTCACCTTCGAGGCGCGCGACCAGGCGCTCACAGACTACCTGTCGGACATGTGCTACGTGCGGCAACTGGGGTTCGGCCGCGCCAACATGCTGTTCAACGGGTTCATGCACGTCTTTCAGGACCATCGTGACCGGCTGCCAACGGCGGCGAAGGCGCTGAAGTCCTGGCAGCGACTCGGACAGAAAGGCCAAGGCGCCCCTGTGCCCATGGAGGCGGTCGTCCTGGTCATGTGCGAGCTGTTCCGTACTGGGCTCCTGGTCGAGGGCTCGGCGGTCTTGACGCAGCTGGACGGCCGACTCAGGGAGCAGGACTGGGGCCAGCTCAGGGCGGAGGATGTTGCAGAAGGGCCTGGAGGTCAGCTCGCCTTCACCCCGGGCAGGCGCGAGAGAGGAGCGCAGGTCAAGACGGGCTCGAACCAGGGTGTGGTGATATCGTGGCCGGTGACAGCGGTTGTGATCCGAGGCTTGCTGCGTGGCTGCGAACAGAAGGACCTGGTCCTTCCCGTCTCGCAGGACAGGTTCCGCCGCGCGTGGCACAAGGCGCTGGAGGCGGTGGGGCTGCCCGGCATGGGCCCCCCACGTGCTATTCGGCATTCAGGGGCGGCCTCCTTCGTGGCAGGTGGAGGGCCTGGAGGCAGCCCGACGCAAAGGCAGGTGGCAGACGACAACGGCTCCGCAGAGGTACACGGTGACCCGCGTGCTGGTCGCCCAGCTCGCCTGGATGTCCGACGCCCAGGTGCGCGAGGGCGTCGGCTTCTGGGCGGCGCCGGCCGAGCGCCTGTCGGCGTGCATCAGGGAGCCGCCCGCGGCAAAGTCACCGCTGGCTCAGGCGCTGCTGGCGGAGCTTGCACAGGCACGCGGCTTCGATGTCGAGCTCCCGAATTTCGACGGTGGCAGGGTGCTCACAACGGGTCGGGCCTCCACTGCAGGCCGTACCCGATCCAGGCGCATGAAGAGCGCCGCAGTGTGAGCCTATGTGACCTGTTTTTCTTTTTCAGTCTTGAGCCACAGGCGGGGAGTGTGAGTATTCGCGACGTGGAAGCTGAACGATTCTCGTAGCCTGTCCCCGCCAGTGCTCGCATTCTGTGGCCTGACATATCTATTGATATAGACCGATTGGGTCTAGATGAGGTTGCAGCATTTCCCTGTCTCCACCTATTTCCCTCAGCGAAAAACGATTAGCATAATGAAAGAAGGGACCTGGGGCTTGTAAAAGGGAGGCTGGAACACAACATAGGACTTGACTGGAATCATAACCCGTTCCCTCCCGCCCTGATTCCTCGAAAGGCTGGTGCTTAGGCATGTGTGCCATTCTCGATAGATTGGGGCTGGTGATTTCGAGCGCGCCTGAATTGTTAAGGCCTTCCTCGGGCCCCTGGAGCCAGGTCAGGTACCGTCCTAGGGCTCGTGGCCTGCCGAGTTGGACACGCACGCTGAACCAGGTCAGGTACCGTCCTAGGGCTCGTGGCCTGCCGAGTTGGACACGCACGCTGAACCCTTCGGGGGGAGACTCCCTCTCTGGGCCTTGCGCGGCACTCTGCTTCCGCTCCAGCTTTGGCGTTGGATGTTCAGGAATATCTTTAGGGTTGTCGCTCCAGCTCCACCTGCCCCCCCTTTTAAAGGGTCCCTCCTCAGTATAGTTCAAAGCTGGTTTATTGTAGATGCGTTAATGTAAGTGGAATCGGCGGTGCCCAAACCAACGTTCCGCCTGAGACGTCCCCACAATCTGGGCGCGAACGGGCCCGTGTAACACCCCCTGGCGGAACCCCCTTGGGATGCCCAAGTGCCATGCCTGCTACATCGCGGTGATCATGTGAGCCTCGAGAGAGACAGAGAGACGTCGCAGACGCCCAATCAAACATTTCGCCTGAGACGTCCCCACAATCTAGGCGCGAGTCGGCCCGTGTAACACACCCTGTCGGCTCCGCCTTGGGATACCCAAGGTTCCGCCATGGAAACCAAAGTGCCATGCCTGCTACATCGCAATGACCATGAACGATTCAGTCTGAATGTGGGCGGTGAGTCTGAATGTGTGAGTTAGTCTGAGTGTGACAGAGTCTGAGTATAAGCGGGTCTGAGAGTGAGTGAGTCTGATTGCGCGTTTGGGTATTCTGAACGAGGGTAAGTCTGCATGTGAGAGTGCCTGGGCTAACTGACATGAATATGAGTGTGCGTAGGCCTGAGTATGGCCGAAGCTCTGTGTGTGTGGGTCTATGTGTTCATGGGTCTGACGGTGGGTCATACTGGGTGATCTGAGTGTCAGTGAGTCTGATTGTTTGTGAGTCTGTATATCAGAGACTCTACGTGTGATTCGGTCCGAATGTTAGTCTGCTGAGCGTGTACGAGACGGCGTTCTTATCAGCGAGGGGGGGAGGCGGAAGGCTAGGAGACGGAGGCGTGACACGAATAAAGGGAACGCATAAACCTGCGATATGAGGAAAATTTTAGGGGCAATCAAGACTCATACAACACACATCACGTCCGGGGCCAATCTGTGGCATAGGGGGAGGAGGAGACGTGAAGCGACAGGGAGAGAATGGGGGAGGCAGGGAGGAGGGACGACGTGGAGGAAGAGGATCCTCATCCCTCTCCTTCACCCTTATGCTCCTCCTCTTCTCCCTCACCCTCCCTCCTCCTCCTCCTCCTCCTCCTCCTCCTCCTCCTCCTCATCGTCATCATGATCATCATCATCATCAGCAGCATCATCATCATCGTCATCATTATTGTCGTCGTCGCCGTCGTCCTCGTCGTCGTCATCGTCATCGCCATCGCCATCGTCACCACCACAAGCATCATCATCATCATCATCATCATCATCATCATCATCATCATCATCATCATCATCACCATAATCATAATCATCATAATCACCATCACCATCACCATCATCATCAGCATCATCATCATCAACAACAACACCAGCATCATCAGCAGCACCAACCTCATCATCAACACCATCATCATCAACATGCCTATTCCTCCTCCTCCTCCTACTCATCCCTCCTCCTCCTTCTCACCCTCCCCACTTCCTCTCCTGCCCTCCTCCTCGAGATATGGCAGTTTCCTGTTGTGACGACTTCGGCGCTGGTTTCTGACACCACGCGGGTCGTTAAACCTTGACGGACCACGGCTTTCCGATGGCGCAAATCGCTCGATGTCGGCCGATTTCGTGCCACTGGCGGCGTTCAACCCCGAACGCCCGCGCTGAGATCGCCGCCGCGTCGAAACGGCACGATCCTACCGCAGGGGGGGAGTAGAACGAATAATGAGAACTAGGTCACCGAACTTCACGCACAGTACCCCCGCGGAGCGCGGTTACCTTCGCGCCCTCGCGCCCTCGCGCCGCCCCCCCCGAGCCCTGGGGAGGAGCAGCCATTCTGCCCAAGGCCGTGACCCGCGAAGCGAGATCATCTTCGCGCCCCCGCGGGTGACCCAGGAGAACGAGCAATGAAAAGATGAGTCGAGCAGAGACAGCAAACGCAAGACGGATAATGCACGGTGGGGCTGGCCGGCAATAGAGGAGCAACACTGGCGACTGCACTGGAGAAGATCTTCTGCAGATGTAGGCGGTGGACTGGGAGGGCTGGCTGGCACGAGGTGCGAGGGGAGGGTGTTCGAGGGAGGAAGCGCACGAAACAGAGAGCACCGCCACTTTCGCACGTCCCAGCTCATATGGACCCAGAGGCTACTCCCACCTGAGACCATTGCTACCTTCGGGCCGGGCGAAAGGGGGGGATAGCAAAGGGGGGGTTTGAGAATCAGCTCACGTAGCTGATTTTCCCGGCGCCTCCGGGCGCAGGAGGCGGCTATGCATCGAGGAATGGGCCCCTCGGTGGGGCCGAAACCAGTTGCATGCAGCAGATTTCGTACCCCCCCCCTTTCCCAATCCCCCCCTTTCGTTCGGCCCGATACCTTCCTGAGCCATCCAGGGGGCATGCCTCTGTGTGGACACTGGACGTGCGCCTACACCAAGTGAGCAGCACTACTGGTACAGAGGTAGCTGCCCGACTGGCCGCCCCCTCCCCCCGGGCGGGCCGAAGGAGAGGCGGGGGGTCTGATCGCCTCCGCATCCTCCTCCCTCTTCCTCCCTCCCTCCATCGTCCGAGTGCCACCTCTTCCCCCATCTGCGACGTGGCGGATAATAAGGGAGAATTATCTGGACGCCCTAGATGGGGTTGCATTGTTGTCCCTGGATCGGGCTAGCCTGGCTGCGCAACCGAACACCGACCGAACCCGCAGTGAATCCGAAACCGACAGGCCGCACGCAGCCAGGAAAGGCGCGGCGACGCAACAACGACACAACAAAAGACCGAAGCGGACCGACCGAATGCAACCGATCCCGGCATGCCTGAGCCGTGGAGCTCCCGACGGCCAGAAGGTCAGAAGGGGCCTCCGAGGCGCGATTTCCGATCCCGCCCTCCTCCCATAACCCTGCGGGCTTGTCCTCAACGGGAGTATGGGAAGGCAGCCCCTGAGATCCGACGTTGCGAGCAAATTGCAACATCGCGAAACATCAGGACTGAAGCCCTGGACCCGATCATCCTGCTGCATGTTTCAAGTCGGATCGACCTGTGATGGTCCCAGGCCCGAAGCCAAACGAAAACGCCCGGGGTGTGAAAACGTGGCAACGCCCAGATCTCAGGGACGATTGGTCAGCTGTGGCCAAGATCCTACTGCGCCCTCGTTCTGCTCGGGTGGCAGGCTGCGCACTCGTCGTACTCGCACTGCCTGCACTGGAACAGCGTGGAGCCCTTCGGTAGCTCCGCAGAGCAGGCGTCGCACGTGTAACCGTCCTCGTCCGACTTCCACTGCCTTGGCTGGCCCGCCCAGAGGGGACCGCCCCTGGCCGAGTGACTCAACACAGTGGGTGTAGCCATCACCCTTCTCTACCTCAGCTAGCTCCCCCACGCAGCAACTGTTTCGATACTTGACCCTGTTAGCTCGCGCGCGTGCCGTGCGCATCACGAGCCACATGACAACAGATCGCGAAGCAAATATTCTGGGTGAGCGTCCTGAAAGTGTGAGGCTGGCTGAATGTGTGAGACTGGCCTCCCCTGCTCGTATTGGCGACTGCTCACGCAGGCGCCGCCAGTGGTGAGTTTGTGGGTGGGGGAAGGGGGGCAACGCCGACCTCCGAGAATTCGTGCTTAAGCCGCTTTGTTCTTCGATCACCCTGGGGCCCTGAGCCCAGTGTCGCCCAGAAGGGGCCCTCACCCCCGCAGAACAGTGCTCCCTCGTGGGCTGGAGTGGCGCGTGCGGCGCCGCTCTCCAAGGCCCCAGCGGCCAGGAAGGTACCACCTCGCCTCGAGGTCCAGCTCCCAGCAAGAATTGCCCTCCGTGTGCGGTGTCTCCTCCGACCCTGACCTCAGACGTCGCGATATTTTCGCCACGTGGACCCCTGGAGGTCTCGGTCCGCATTTCGTGCCGAATCGCTCTCTGTTGCCCCCGAAAGCCTGATGAGGGCCCCCGGATGCCGAAAACGGCGCCCCCAAACCTCCCGCCGTGATCCTTGTTCACGATGCCGGGGGGCCGGGGCTTTTGAAGGGGGGCGGTACGGGGAGACTGGCTCAGGAGGGGAGACATCGATGTGGAAGTGGCAATACCTCGCCGATAGATCGGCGATGCGCCCCTGATACCGAAACGGCACGCTCCTGGGCGGGTTGGGCCACCAGGTCCCCGTCGGCGATGCGCGGGCGTCTGGGGGTCGACGCGTTCCCCCCCGAGCCAATCCCCACCCTGACGCTGCCCCTGAGCTCTGCGACGCCCGAAAAGACCCCCCCCTACCCATGTCGGTCGTCCCGACATGCGGGCAGCACCTGGACTTTTGGTCGGCCGGCAGCCTCAGCTCGTGGCCGTTCGGGCACACGCCGGCCCGCGGCGTGCCGGCCACTTTTGCCGGTGCCTTCGGCGCCGGCGGTGCCGTCTGCGGGGCCGGCGGCGCGGCAGAGACCTGGCGCGGGGCGCCTCCTCTGAGATCCTGCAATTTTTCAGACCTGGCGATCTCGCCAGGCTTCGGCCCCCAAGGCCCTCACAGGTTGGCAGGTCGGTCCGGCTGGAGAAACGCCGCGCAAAGAGGGAGTCCACAGTGCGACGGTAGTGTTTTTTCGCGAGGTTGTACCTGTTTCGCGACGTCGGATCTCAGGGGATCCAGACATCCGGCGCCTCGAAAAAAATCCGGCCGGCTGGTCTGTCGTCATTTTTGGCCTCTGGGTGCCAGATTCGGGCCTCGGCGGCCGTCCAAAACGTATCGGGATTGCAGGATGGGATCTAAAGCTCTGGGGGCAATGCGTCGAAAAAGTGGAGCGCCAGACCAAGGACCAACGAGCCCCCTGACGCCACAACTCCCCTCCTCTTCTTTCTGTATGTCCATTCTTCCGGCGACGCCTGAAACGCCTGTGGCGCTGGCAGATGAACACGGTCTTAAAAAGTGCGAAATGCCGTCCCCTGCGCTTAATACGGCAATCGAATTCAAGCAGCCGCTGGGCAAATTACGTACATTATGTCTCTCTCTCTCTCTCTTTCTGTGTCTCTGTCCCTCTGTTCCTTCTTTCTCTCAGCCCCTCGCCCTGTCTGCGGATCTCCCTCCACGCCCCGGCTCTCCAACTCCTCGCCATCTCTTTGCCGTAGAGCTCCGCGAGCCCTTCTATCTCTTAAATGCGCCAGGACTGGACCCCACGTCCAAGCCCTCTTCTTTCAAAGGGGGGTAGCAATCATTGGCATGAAACGAACGGGCCCTGAGGGGACCGGGTCCTGAACCCCTGGGCGTCTGGCGAAACGAGGCTGCAGAGAGAAGGTGATCCCTGAACGGGACGATTTTGCGACGACGCCCATCCGACGCTTCCTCTGGACTGCTCAGGTCGGAGGGCATCAGCGGACCACCTCACCGATACTAGCCAGGCCGATCCTGGGCCTGGGAGCGGTGCCTGTGCCTCCGTGGCCAAACCAAGATGGCGTTTACGCCGATCCCTGGCCCATGACGAGCCTCGCAATGACCGGCGAGGTGATCAACCTGACCCGCGGCTGACACCGCGAGGACCGTTCAGCCTTGGCCGATCGTGGTCTCCTGACAGCGCAGATCGCTCGATGCTGGCCGACTCTGGGCCACTAACCCTGAAAGCCACACTGGGGTCGCCGCCGCGTCGACACGGTACGAGCCTGCCTTAGAGGAGGAGGCGAGAAGAGTGGACGAGGGGAGATGAAGGAAGGCGGCAGTAAGGGGGCTAGAGCGGATGAGAGCAGTGGAATGGAGTACAGCGAAGGAAAGCTAGGTCACCTAACTTCGCGCATCGAGCCATGCGATGCACGAAATTTGGTGACCTAGTTCGCCCTGAACGCTAACGCTGGGGCCATCGCCGCATCGACACGACACGAACCTCCCGTACCACAGAGAGGCCGCTGGGAGCCTTGGAGCTCGCCTTGAGCACCGGCTGGGCGGCCTGTACGGCAGGCACCTTGACGATGCCAGCCTTCGACGCGACCTCCGAGTGTGGCCAAGCGGATACCAGGGCCCATGTAGTACGAGCCCAATGTTGAAGGGAAACGGGGGGGTGGGGGACGACTGGCTCCGGGGGGGGGGGGCATCGAACTTGCGTCGGCGATGCATCGCCGATAAAACGGTAATAGTTCATTTACGCATGTATCTACATACGCATTTCGATGTAAAGATGCACATCTCAGTATTTGCGTACATACAGATACAAATAAGCGAAACCGCAGAGCCCACCAGGCCCCTATCGGCGATGAATCGGCGATTGAGGGCAATATGCCCCCTTAAGCTTATCTCCCCGAACAGTGGTGAGGCGTACAGGGACAAGGGGGGTTCCGAAGATGTTTGTTTGTGGGCTGGGCTCAGGCAGCCCTGTTCGCACTGAGACGCAGCAGCCGGGAGGTACGGCAGGAGGGGAAGACAGCCTCGCAGAGGAGCGTATAAGATAATGGACACCGACATAGGCATAGACTTTCGGACCCCCGATGGTTTATGTTTGTGCAGTGCTCCCTCCTTCGGCCCCAAACATCCGACGACATGAATTGTTCACTGCGAATCCCCAGTAATCCCGACCGCTTCCCCCCCGGGTGGTGATTCGCCCCGGATTCCAAGCTCCCAAAAGCGGCCCCCGAAGGCCGAAATGGGGGAACACCCGCCGGTCGAGAGACTTAGACCGGCGGAGCAAAATGGCTGGCGAGTGCCGCCTGGCGGGACGGAAGGGCGCGGCGGCCTCGTGCAGCCGAGAGCAACCCCTCTCGGGTACCTCGGACGGGATCGGTTTCGTCCCCATGTGCGGGGGCGCCGGGAGCACGGTTTTTTGCTGGAAACAGAAAATTGACACTATTACTTTGAAGGGGCTTATTGCTTTTAGGCTAAAGGAACGAGCCCTTCAGTAAAAAGCTGTTGCTCTGTTGCGCGACAGCCGCGGCGGCGCGTCCAAATTGCCGAGCCACGTCGTGCGCTCGCACAATCTCCGGTCAAGGAGCATCTACAACCCGCTGAAAACATGTCCAAGGATCGCCGCGACCCGATGCAACGCGACCCTGATTACTCGAGCAAATGTATCGCGAGGTGAATTGGCAAGAAAGACAAGAGCCCCCCGCCCCCCGACCAGGCCCAAGCCCCGCACCCCCAGGGCTTTCATAAGGCAGACCACGGCCTTCACTAAAACGAAGAAGCAATTTTACTAAAGCGAGGGACCGGCTTTACTAACGCAAGGAAGCGGCTTTACTAAGGCGAGAAAACGGCTTCAGTAAAGGCGCGCCGCTCAACACATTCACAAAATTATGTTTTACTAGAAAGCTAAAAAAGAGCTTCTGTAAAGCGGAAAGGCGGCTGGTATGAAACTGCGCGCAGAAATTTCGCTCCTCCCATAAAATATGGCGCGGGGCTCCAGGAACGAGGGCGGGGCGCAAGTTCGCCCGTGGGCCCGGGCCCTGTCGCCGCCATCGCCGCGACGTTCGCCGCCGCCGAGGCTGTCGTCATCGTTGCCGTCGCCGTTGTCGTCGCCGCGACGCCCGCGCATTCACGTTATTACCAGCGGCGGGTCGCGCGTGGCAGCGCGCGCCATTGCGCTCGCATTTTCGCTCCTCCAACAGGGGCCCAGGCGGACATCGTGCTTTTTCTTCCACAAACAACTTATTTGAAGTAAAAACGGGAAAATTGCGCCTCTGATTTTTGTCTCAATTATCGACGAGCCCGTTACCAGAGACGTCCCCTTCACCCTCCCCCTCCCCCTCCCAATAGCGTCACGCACGATACGTGCGGTAGATCATTCCCAGAAAGCGCTGGCGCGAATCGTGACGTTGCTGGTCCCCTCCCCTCCCCCTGGTAAATACATAGCACCTCCCGCGAGAGGATACAACAAAAACGGGCTCCGAACAGGGGGAGGGTGCGCATCATTGCCCAAGGCGTGCGCACGGATGGGGGACAGCAGATGCGTTGAAGGGAGGAGAAGATTAATACGACAATTTATCACAACAACAATCATACCATAAGAAACAGTCAACTTAGGAGCCATGACATCTGGGAGATTTTATGGCCCCAGCCATGGTTTCCACACACCGCTAGTCATCACCTCCCTCTTGGACGCCCCCAGCATATGGGCCTCGATCCTCTTGCTGGAGCTCTCGTTCTGAACCCCCGAATCCAAACTCTTTGACATCTGGGGCGGATCTTTTACTCTGGCCGGCTTCCGAAGACCTTCCGCCGGCGCAGCGAACCTAGTTATACTTCCGCCGCCTCCCGCCGAGGCAGAGATGTCAACCTTTCAAAGACTCGAAGGCGAGGGAATGTAAACCCTCTGGGGGCGATGGGCCACCCGCCCGCGGAGCTCCCCCAGCCCTCCGAGGTAGAGGATTCCACCCCGACGCCAGCCCGAGTAGTGGGGGCTGCCCCTCAGCCGCCTCCCCCCCTGCTCCTTGAGATCCGATGTTGCGAACAAGATGAAACACTGCAAGAAATCACGACCAAAGCCCTAGACCCTTTCTTTCCGCGGCATTTCTCGAGCTGGATCGATCTGCGAGAATTGACCCCAGGACTCGAAACCAGGCGAAAACGCCCAGTGTGAAACAAAAATCAACACCCGGATCTCAGAGCTCCCCGCTTGGCCACGTCCTCGCCTTCAACAAGGGTGCGGCCTGCTTGCCGAGCGCCTTCGCTGGAGGCGTGCCGGAAGGCTTCGTGCCCGCCTTGAGCGCGGCATGTGCCGGGACGGGTGGCGGCCTGTCGCCGGGCGGCTCTGCCGGAGGCGCGCCGGAGGGCTTCGTGCCCGCCTTCAGCGCGGCAGGCGCTGGGGCTGCTGGGACCGTCGGCGGCCTGTCGCTGGGCGGCTCTGCCGGAGGCGCGCCGGAGGGCTTCGTCCCCGCCTTGAGCGCGGCAGGCGCTGGGGCTGATGCCGGAGGGCTGGGCCCCGCCAGCGGCACCGCCGTGCTGGGGGCTGCGGTCGTCGCCGGCGCGCTGGCGAGCGCCCCTGACATGCGCCAATATGTTTTCTCACTCTGGAGCGGGCCGAAGTCGAGGACAATTCCTCGGTTGATTATAGGGCCTGGCGAAAGCCCCAACCATGTGCAGTTGTGAGTGCCGCAATTGTGAGCTTCGTCTTCGGTGGAGCTTCGCCACGAAACGTGTGAGAGATGTGCCGAAACTGGGGCGGAACCGCATGCGAACCCTGCCACTGGTGCCTTCGGCGGAGCTCCCTATGGGGCCACGAAACGTGTGAGGGGTGTGCCGAAAGTGGGGGTGGAACCGCATGCGAACCCTACCACCAGGGCCTTCGGCGGAGCTCCCTATAGGGCCACGAAACGTGCGAGGGGGGCGCGAACGTGGGGGTGGGACCGCATGCGAACCCTGCCACTGATGCCTTCGGTGGAGCTCCCTATAGGGCCACGAAAGGCGTGAGGAGTGTGCCGAAATTGGGGGTGGAACCGCATGCGAGACATGCCACTGGTGCCTTCGGTAGAGCTCCCTATGGGGCCACGAAATCTGTGAGGGGTCTGCCTGGGGGTGGAACCGCATGCGAACCCTGTCGCTGGTGCCTTCGGTGGAGCTCCCTATGGGGCCACGAAACGTGTGAGGGGTGTGCCGAAATTGGGGATGGAACCGCATGCGGACCCTGTCGCTGGGGCCTTCGGTGGAAATCCCTACGAAGCCACGAACCGTGTGAGGAGCTCGTCGAAATAGGGGTGGAACTGCATGCGAACCCTGCCACTGGGGCCTTCGGTGGAGCTCCCTATGGGGCCACAAACCGTGTGAGGGAAGTGCCGAAATGAGGGTGGAACTGCATGCGAGCCCTGCCGCTGGTGCCTCCAGTGGAGCTCCCAATGGGCCACAAAACGTGTGAGTGTGAGAGTTGCGCCGAAAGTAAGGTGGAACTGCTTGCGAACCCTGCCACTGAGGCCTTCTGTGGAGCTCCCTATGGGGCCACGGGCCGTGTGGGAGATGTGCTGAAATGACGGTGGAACTGTTGGCGAACCCTGCCACTTGGGGCCTCCAATAGAATTACGGGGCCACGAATCGTGTGAGGGGTGCGTCGAAATGAAAATGGAACTGCATGCGAACCCTGCCACATGGGGCCTGCGGTAGAACTCCCTATGGGGCCACGAACCGTGTGGGGTGTGCGCCGAAAGGAGGGTGGAACTGCATGCAAACCCTGCCACTGTGGCTTTCGGTGGAGCTCCCTATGTGGCCACAGAAGGTGTGAGGGGTGTACACAAAAGGGGTGGTGGAAACGCATGTGGACACCGCCACTGGGGTCTTTGTTGGAGCTCCCTATGGGGCCACGAGACGTGTGAGGGGTGTGGCGACATGAGCGGCGAGGACGGTGACGAGCACGGCGATGACGATGACGATGATGACGATGATGCTGATGATGATGAAAAGGTGATGATGGCGATGCTAATGATGGGGTGATGGGTTGATGATTGGAAAAGGAGAGGAAGGAAGGAGGACGGAAGGAAGGAGGGGACACGGGACGCTGCCTTTTCAAAACGAAGACCCAACGCCACAAGATGGTTGGGGGCAAATCGTCGGAGATATGGGCTGGCGCGCCGCCTGGGGCTTTTGGGCCGTGAAGGTTGCACTCGGAGCACAAGTCGTACTCGCACTCGACACACTGGAAGAGAATGCTGGCCAATGGCATCTCCTTGGAGCAGGAGTCGCACGTGTAACCGTCCTGGTCGGACGTCCACTGCTTCAGCTCGTGCGCGGCCGGGCACGTCCTCGTCCCCAGATCTCCGACAAGATATGTCCTCCCCCCCTCCCCCCCGGGCTTTTGCTTCCCTTCGGCCTCTGGGGCCCGTCATCGGGCCCCGAAACAATCAAGGCTGGATCGGGACGACAAACTGCCCCTGGGCTGGGGAAGGCTGGGGGCGCGGATTGAAGACACATATCGTCGGATGTCTGGGTCCTCTTCGCTGCCGCTTGCTGAAGATGGGGAACAGACTCATCGGAGGTCTTCCCTCGCAACATCGAGGTCATCCTCTTGGCGAGCAAGAATGAAGATGGAGTGGTGAGGGGACACGGAACATGCTGGCAGGTTGCTGCGGGACCTAAATCTGGCCTCGACCCAACGGGGCATCTGCCTGATCTGTCCTACAGTAGGGTGTCACACAACAGGCGCCGGGTCTGGCCTGGAGCATCGGCCGGATCAGTTTCAACCACATGTATCCGCCCGCGAGGGCTTAATCTTGAATGCGCTGTCTAGCGGAATAAGCGTATATCGTATGCACGGAGTCCACCAGCGCTCGCAGCAGCCCGCAACGACCGCAACTCCGCCGCAGCGCGTCCCTCCGCATCCAGGCTCCCCCCCCAGCCCAAGGAATATGGATTCTCTGCTGCCCAATCGCAGTATTCAGCGACCCGCCGACAAGTCGGCTACTCTCGCCGAAGCTCCAACGACAGGGCACTGTGGCGCTGTCCTCGAACACAACTCGAACTAGTGCCGCTCCCGTCCAGGCTTAGTTCAATTGCAGTGGGACCTGTCCGCGGCGAACTTTCGATTTATCTCAATATCATGGGAGCCAAAACAACCCCTCACTGATATCCGCGTGTTGGGGAGTTAACGGATTTTGACTTATGCAACTGGGCCTTGCAAATCTCTGCGTACCCTCTTCACCATATGTGTGCCATCCCCCATGTCTCAATACCAGCGAGCATGCGGGAAAAAGGTGGGGGTGGCGGTAACCTTATAAACAATCTCCGACAGGAAACGACCAAGCAACACCTTCGAAACGTAACGATCGAGCGGCTACGGGCTACGAAGACGAAGGAGCCAGTGGCCGTACGGAAGAGTGGTAGTGTTCAACCCCAAAGCCAGCGCTGGCCAAATGCGATCCCAGCAAAGGGTAACATAACACAGAGTAGCAACATCATGTCGCATACGGTTGCCATCGCCGTAAACTTGCCGACCCCTGGGGGTCTACGGCGTGTGAGACTGTTGCCCCTCCCAAGGCCCCTCCTCGGGGGGGCCTTCCCGACTGGTTCGGAAGTATTGCAAAAGTGCTGCATGTGGCATTGTGTCAATGATAATGTATCCCCGCCTACCCCCCACCCCCCGAGGTCACGCCACTTCCGTCGACCCAAAAATAGAGGACCCCATCTAAACCCCAAAACTTAAAAACTCCGGAAGAACATCTATGATTTGGGCCCCTGGGACGTCTCGGAGGTCTAAGAGGGCGTGAAGACGGCTCAAGATGGCCTGAGTACAAGCCATACTGACCCCAAGACAATCCAAGATGTTCCCAAGAGGGCACACAAACTCCTAATTCAGCCCAAGAGGGCCCCAAGGGCACCCCCAAGAGCGCCTCCAGAGGCCAACATGATTGATTTTCCTTGGGGTTGTTCAAAGTTGTTCAGCGTTATCGCCCCTTTTGACTCTCTTCGGCCCATGGCGGCCCAAGCAGTCTCCAAGATGGCCCCAAAGCGGCCCCACAAAGGGCCCCTATATGGCCCAAAAGGGCACCGATACGGCCCACAGAGGCCGCAAGACGGTCCAAGAGGCGCCGAAGACGGCCAAAGAGGATCCCAAGAGAGCCCCAAAGCGGCCCGGAAATGCCCCCCAAACAGGTTGCGGAGAGGCCAGACGGCGCAAGAGCGCCCCAACACTGCCCCAAGAGACCTCCAAGAGGTTGTCAAAATATTCTCAGGAGGCCCCACAACGACTAGATTGTACGTGCTACGGGCGTGCACCCCGCGAAGCGAAAGGAATCAAAAGCACGCGATGCAATTTGGCATTATCATGCCATCGTAGCATCATTGAATGGCGTAGCACACCCGTTCCTCGACAACGCCCAACATGGCATATCAACACATGGGTTATCAGACCACGCGTGTTTTAGGAATGACACCTAACACATAAAACCAACACGGCACATGTCAACATAGATGGCAACGCATGTCGTAGTTCAGCATCTGCCCAACACGCACGTAAATCATAAGACCGCGTAAGTGCCCACGTATGTGAACACAACCCGTCGCACTGGCTTTGCATAGCACAACACAGCCGCGTGTTGCCATGACGCATTACATCGCCATGTGTCATACCGTATTTCGCGCACGTAACAATATCAAAGCCGCACACAACTAGCATACCCTATCATCTCAACAGCCTCGCACAACACAACAAATGGACAACAACACAGAACACTGCTTGATCATTTGCATCACAATATGGCGCCTTTTAAAGCTTGGCATGACACAACGTGGCGCCACGTATCACGGCATAGCATACAATACCCAAGAGTCCGCCGAAAGCTGGTGATCTAATTAGCCTGACGCAAGACCCAACCATGTGCAGCTGCGAGTACCGCATTGTAGGTACCGTTTTCGGTGGAATTCATTATGGGGCCACGCACCGTGTGAGGGGCATGCCGGATTGGGCGCGGTGGTGCCATGCAAAGCCTCCCACTGGAACCTTCGGTGGAGTATCCTCTGGGGCCACGAGACGTGTGCGGGTGTGTACCGAATTGGGTATGGTGGTGCCATGCGAACCCACCCGCTGGAACCTTCGGCGGAACTCCCTATGGGGTGTGCCGAAATGGCGGTGAAACTGCATGCGAGCCCCACCATTTGGGCCTTCGGTGGAACTCCCTATATGGCCACGAATCGTGTGAGGGGTACTTCGAAATGAGGGTGGAACTGCATGCGAACCCTGCCAATGGGGCCTTCAGTGGAACTCCCTATGGGGCCACGAACCGTGTGAGTGGGTGCGCCGAGATGAAGGTGGAACTGCATGCGAACCCTGCCACTGAAGCAATCCGTGGAGCCTCCTAAGGGGCTTCGAACAGTGAGAGGGGTGCGTCGAAATGAGGGTGGACCTGCATGCGACCCCTTCCACTGAAACATTCGGTGGAACTCCAAATGGGGCCACGAACGGTGTGAAGGGTGCGCCGAGATATAGGTGGAACTGCGTAGGAACCCTGCCGCTGGGACCTTCGATGGAGCTCCCTATGAAGCCACGAACCGTGTGAGAGGGACGCCGAAATGAAGGTGGAACTGCATGCGAACCCTGCCACTGGGGCCTTCGACGGAGTTCCCTATGGGGCCACGAACCGTGTGAAGGTTGCAAAGAAATGAAGGTGGAACTGCATACGAACCCTGCCAATGGGGCCTTCGGTGGAGCTCCCTATGGGGCCACGTACCGTGTGAGGGGTGCGCCGAGATGAAGGTGGAACTGCATGCGAACCCTGCCACTCGGGCCTTCGGTGGAATCCCTGTGAGGGGTGTGCCGAAATGAGTGGAACTGCATGCGAACCCTGCCGCTCGGACCTTAGGTGGAGCTCCCTGAGGGGCCACGAAACGTGTGAGGGGCGTGCCAAAAAGGGGAGGCGCCGCCATGCGGACTGCGCGGCAGGAGGGGGGGGCAGCGGGAGGAGGAATGACGCAGGGCGCTGTCTCATCAGAACGAAGACCCAACACCACAGGATGGTTGGGAACAAATCCGAAGAAACCGGGACAGACAGACAGACAGACGCCTTGCGTCCAGGTGGACGCGTTGGCGGGAAAAATACAAGTGACCAAACGTCACTCGAAACGCTCGAAGCACAGAGGTGTGGCCAAACGCCAAAACTCGAAGAAACCGGGACACCCACGAAACCCATCGGGATCCCCAGGGATCTCGCAGAAGAACTCTGGGAACCGGGCTCGGGAGATGCCACTCCCTCTGGGCCTCTTCGACAAAAGACGTGGGGACCCCTCAAGCAAAACCCAGATCTGGAAAACTCAATCCACTGCTTCCCTTGGCTGCCTGGCCCACCCCACTCCGTGCCGACCCTCCTGGCCCATGTCGAACAATCCTCAAGAACAAACGTGGAGAACGAGTCGTGGTCCTCGCATCCTCGCGAACAATCCTTCCTGCCGACACTCGCGGACAATTTTACTACTCGATCCTAGCGAACAAGCCTTCCTTTTCGGGGGTTCTTCCCTGCAGTCTCTTGCCAACGTCTTCGTCGTCCACTGGCGGCATCGGCGGGGCGGGTGGTGGAGCTTTGCTGGGCGGTGTGGCGTCGGTCTCGGCGTCACTCTTCGTCTTTTCCTCGACCCTTGCCCCGCTTTTTGCTTCGTCCTCTGCTTCCTTCTGGGGCGTTTCCCCTGCCTCTTTCTTCGATTTCTCATCAGCGTCTTTCTTCGCCTTCTCCTCTGCCTCCTTCTTCAACTTCTCCTCAGCATCTAGCTTGGCCTTGGCCTCTGCCTCCATCTTCGCTGTAGCCTCGGCCTCTTTGTTCGTTTTATCATATGCTTCCTTCTTGGCCTTCTCCTCTGCCTGCTTCTTCGCTGTGGCATCGGCCTCCTTCTTCGCCTTCTCCTCTGCTTCCTTTTTCGCCTTCTCCTCCGCTTCCTTCTTCGCTTTGGCCTCGGCGTCATTTTTCGCCTTCTTATCCGCTTCTGTCTTGGCCTTGGCCTCTGCCGCCTTAGCCTTCTCCTCAGCCTCCTTCTTGGCCTTCGCATCCGCTTCTTTCTTGGCCTTCATTTCTGCATCCTTCTTCGCTTTGGCCTCGGCCTCCATCTTGGCCTTCTCCTCTGCTTCCTTCTTTGCTTTGGCCTCGGCCTCCTTCCTCGCCTTCTCCTCTGCTTCCTTCTTCGCTCTTACCTCAGCCTCCTTCTTGGCTTGCGCCACCGCTTCGTTCTTGGCCTTTTCCTGTGCTTCCTTCTGTACTTTGGCCTCGGCCTCCATCTTCGCCTTCTCCTCCGCTTCCTTCTTCGCTTTGGCCTCGGCCTCCTTCCTCGCCTTTTCCTCCGCTTCCTTCTGGGTTTGTTCCTCTAATTCTTTCCTGGCCCTCGACTCTGCCTCCTTCTTTGCCTTCTCCTCCGCTTCTTGTTTCGCCTTCTCCTCCGCCTGCTTCTTGGCCTTGGCATCCGCATCCTTCTTCGCCTTTTCATCCGCTTCCATCTTGGCCGTCTCCTCTGCCTCCTTCTTCGACTTGGCATCGGCGTCCCTCTTGGCCTTCTCATCTGCTTCATTCCTGGCCTTGTCCTCTGCTTCCTTCTTCGCCTTCTCCTCAGCATCCTTCTTTGCTTTCTCGTCCGCGTCTTGCTTGGCCTTTTCTTCTGCTTCCTTCTTCGCTTTGGCCTCGGCCTCCTGCTTGGCCTTCTCCTCCGCTTCCTTCCGGGCCTTGGCCTCTGCTTCCTTCTTCGCCTTCTCCTCAGCATCCTTCTTTGCCCTCTCGTCCGCTTCTCTCTTGGCCTTTTCCTCTGCCTCCTTTTTTGCTTTGGCCTCAGCCTCTTTCTTTGCTTTGACCTCGGCCTCCTTCCTCGCTTTCGCCTCTGCTTCCTTCTTTGCTTTCTCGTCCGCGTCTTGCTTGGCCTTTTCCTCTGCTTCCTTCTTCGCTTTGGCCTCGGCCTCCTGCTCGGCCTTCTCCTCCGCTTCCTTCTGGGCCTTGGCCTCTGCCTCCTTCTTCGCCTTCTCCTCAGCCTCCTTCTTTGCCCTCTCGTCCGCTTCTCTCTTGGCCTTTTCCTCTGCATCCTTTTTTGCTTTGGCCTCAGCCTCTTTCTTTGCTTTGACCTCGGCCTCATTCTTCGCTTTCGCCTCTGCTTCCTTCTTTGCTTTCTCGTCCGCGTCTTGCTTGGCCTTTTCCTCTGCTTCTTTCTTCGCTTTGGCCTCGGCCTCCTGCTTGGCCTTCTCCTCCGCTTCCTTCCGGGCCTTGGCCTCTGCTTCCTTCTTCGCCTTCTCCTCAGCATCCTTCTTTGCCCTCTCGTCCGCTTCTCTCTTGGCCTTTTCCTCTGCCTCCTTTTTTGCTTTGGCCTCAGCCTCTTTCTTTGCTTTGACCTCGGCCTCCTTCCTCGCTTTCGCCTCTGCTTCCTTCTTTGCTTTCTCGTCCGCGTCTTGCTTGGCCTTTTCCTCTGCTTCCTTCTTCGCTTTGGCCTCGGCCTCCTGCTTGGCCTTCTCCTCCGCTTCCTTCCGGGCCTTGGCCTCTGCTTCCTTCTTCGCCTTCTCCTCAGCATCCTTCTTCGCCCTCTCGTCCGCTTCTCTCTTGGCCTTTTCCTCTGCCTCCTTTTTTGCTTTGGCCTCAGCCTCTTTCTTTGCTTTGACCTCGGCCTCCTTCTTCGCTTTCGCCTCTGCTTCCTTCTTTGCTTTCTCGTCCGCGTCTTGCTTGGCCTTTTCCTCTGCTTCTTTCTTCGCCTTGGCCTCGGCCTCCTTCTTGGCCTTCTCCTCCGCTTCCTTCCGGGCCTTGGCCTCTGCTTCCTTCTTCGCCTTCTCCTCAGCCTCCTTCTTGGCCTTCTCGTCCGCTTCTCTCTTGGCCTTTTCCTCTGCCTCCTTTCTTGCTATGGCCTCAGCCTCTTTTTTGGCCTTGTCCTCCGCTTCCTTCTTCGCCTTCTCCTCAGAAGCCTTCTTTGCTTTGGCCTCTGCCTCCTTCTTCGCTGCGGCCTCGGCAACCTTCTTCGCCTTCTCGTCCGCTTCTTTCTTGGCCTTTTCCTCTGCTTCTTTCTTCGCTTTTGCATGGGCCTCCATCTTCGCCTTCTCCTCCACTTCTTTCATGGCCTTGTCCTCTGCTTCCTTCTTTGCCTTGTCCTCAGCATCCTTCTTGGCCGTTTCATCTGCCTTTTTCTTCGCATTGTGTTCAGCTTCAGTCTTCGCCTGATCATCAACTGGCTTCGTTGCGGTGGCCTCAGCGGCGTCTTTCGCGATTTAATTCATCAAACCTCAGCATCTATGCCACAAAAACGAAATCGTGCAAACAATTCCTTGCTTGTCCGTCCTCCCGACCCGGATCAAGCGAAGATCACACATGAGCGGCTCTGGAAACCATGGATCCGAACAAGTTGACGTCTCACCAGTTCCAGCTGGCTCCAGCTTCCACTGGCTTTCCGCCAGCTGAGCCGTCGCCAGTGTACTTCCAGTGGCCATCGCAGTAAACGAGACGCATCGAAAACGAAGCACTTCCTGGACTGGTCTACGCCGCAATAAGAACGAATCCCACCAGCCCTCTAGGCGCAGGTGGTCTAACGAGATTCCTCTTCCCTCTTCCAAAAAACCCCTCTTCCCCTAAAAGGAGGGGTTTACCCCTCCCCCTACCCCCTCCCCTGGACTTTTTGGGGGGTTCCGCGATGTGTCAGGGCGTCCAAAACGGCCTCGGCGAGGAAGCCAAAATCATTGGCTTTACTAAGGTTTTGGCCCCATTTTGGCCTCTTTGGGGGGGGGGGCTGAACGTTACACCATCTCCTCCTTTGATCGATGGCCTTCAAGATGGCCCCAAGACCCCTGAAAAAGCCCCAAGAGAGCTCCAACATCCTCCCATAGAGCCCCAGGAGAGCTCCAAGAGGTGGTTTTGAGGGCTCTTGGGAGGAGGCTCGAAAATCGGGGGACGTGATTCGCCTGAGATTCCGTCGCCATTTATGACCTTGAACCTTGAAATATACAACACAAGTTCACAGATGGAGGGAGGTTGTTTTCAAAATGTGACTATCGCCTTAGCGCCGCGCAGATTCGTCTTAACAACACACCAGCCCTCAACCTCCTCCTCCCCCTTCTCCCCCTCCTCCCCACTGCCTCCTCCTCCCTCTTTTTCTCCACCTCTTCCCCTTCTTCCTTCCTCCGTATTATCCATCTCCTCCACCCCCTCCTCACTACCACCGCTCCGCCCCCCTCCCCACTGCCCGGCTAGCCGGACAGACGAGGAAAATAAAACCAGGATCGCATTTGTTTCATCCCTCGTCCTCCTCCTCCTCCTCCTCCTCCTCCTCCTCCTCCTCTTCCCCTTTCTGACCCTTCGCCTCGTCCTCCTCCTCGCCACTATCACCGCTCTCCCCCCATCATTGCCCGGCCAGCCAAGAAGACGAGGAAAGCAAAACCAAGATCGCAATATCTGGATCCCTCGTCCTCCTCCTCCCCCTCCGCCTCCTCCTCCCCCTTCTCCCCTTCCTCCTCCCCCTCTCCCCTCTTGCCCTTCTCCTCCTTCCCCTCCTCACCCTCCTGCTCCTCGTCCACCTCCTCCCTCTTTTTTAACTTATACTCCTCCCCCCCTCATCACCACCACCGCTCTGCCGCCACCACTGCCCAACTGTGTGGGCAGACGAGAAAATACAACCGGGATTGCCCTCACTTGATCCCTCGTACCACCCCCTCCTGATCCTCGTCCTCCTCCTCCCTCATTTTACCTCTCCCCTCCGCCAGCCCCTCACCACCACCACCGCTCTGCCCCCCATCATTGCCCGGTTAGCCGGTGAGACGAGAAAATAACACCGGGATCACATTCTTTGGGCCCCTCAATATCCTCCCTCTCTTCGTCCTCTTCCCCTCGCCCCCACGCGGCCCCCGGCACGGATGGCCCGAAGAGGCCTTCCAAGGCCACCCCCTTGCTCCCAGAGATCTCTCGGTTCATCCTGGTTGCTTGCTTTGTTTCCCTAAATGTGTCCCTTCGTCCCTTTTCCCGTCAGCTCTCGTGGGCAAGGCCTCTGAAAAGGTCTGGTGGTGATATGTTTTGGTTTGCGGGCTCGCGAAGCAAGCCGAAACCCGTCACTAGCCGGGCCGCGACTAGGCAGCGATAAGAGAAAGGCAAGCGAAGCAAGCGCGCGGGCAGTCACTCAGAAGAAGCACCAGGAGCGGCAGTCCCAACCCAGTGGCGTGGAAATGCTTGTGGCGACCATCAAGTAGGCGCAGCCAAAATGGCGCGGCGGCGCGACCATGAACACGCAGAGGTCGACCACCTGGTGTGAGTCGGCATACGGCCCAACAAAAACGATCAGATCCGACAGGCACTCCAGGGCGACACCCGTGCCGTGGGTGACACAACAGCATCGTGTCGGCGCCGGAGTGAAGAGGTAGCAACCTCGTCACAGGACTGCAAGCGGCAGATCCTCTTGTATGTACACCCATCGGCACAGGTCGAAAGCGAGGTCCATGTAAGAGAAAACAGCCGACGGGCGCCCAGAGCCACACATGCCGAAATCCTTGCACCAAAAGAGGACGGCACCGTAGCGAGACCTCACGGAACCCAAACGGTCACCAGTGGAGGCTGACACCAAGCAGGAGCAGGCCAGGGGCAACCTGGCCGCCCATCCCCAAAGTGGGCATGCATGGGATTCGGATCGAGACCTCACGGAACCCTCCCGGTCACCAGTGGAGGCCGACGCCACAGGAGCAGGTCAGGGGCCACCTGACCGTCCGTTCCCAATGTGAACAGTGCATGGACTTTAGGCTGTCGGAGCACCATCGGACAGCAATATTGGCGGCGACCCCAGCCGCGTAGGATAAACCCGGTGAAACGAGGGAGAGGAGGGGAAGTGCACGCCAGGCACGGTAGGCAACCCGTTGTGGCAGCTAACCGCTGCGGCAATAGGAAGCAGGAGACACGAGCATCGGAGCCCACTGAACCCTCTCGGCAATCAGCAGGGGGGGGGGAATCTGGACGTTGTTTCATACAAGGCTTGCTCTAAGGGGTTCTCATTTGCGGTTTGAGTAGCTGTCCTGGTGTGCCGATGTTGGGTCGTGGTCGCCATTGGCATTCCGTCGCAATCGCCATGGGGGTCCCGTCGGTGTCGCCCGAGGGCTTGATGGGGCCACCTTACTGCCGAATAGGATATCATTCAGCGACTGGGCCACGATGTGGAGTGCTTTGGGGATCGTCTGGGGGGCACCTCGGGCTGTTCTGAGGCGATGCCCGGGGGCTCTTGAGGGCCATTTCGGGGTTCTTATGGCGCGCTGTGCGGCGATATTGGGGGCCTGTTGGGCGGTCTCGGACACCTGGAAGGCTAAAGAAGCGGGCTTCCAAAAGTATGCCAGTTGTGAATTGCACTCCGTACAATGTGATTTCAGAAGTGCTTCTGCCTAATATGTTAGAGCAAGCACCCCCCCCCCCCCCCCCCCCCAGCAGCGTGGCAGCATGTGTAAAGCAGGCGTGGTAGACAGGAGCAAGCACTGTTGCCGTTTGAGCTCGAGAGGCCTCTCGACTGACCAGAAACGCTATCATCGCCCTCCCTGCGCGCAGAGCGATTGTGGACGAGGGTGCTCGAGGAGAAGTTGGCAGGTTTCGGACTTCGATTCGAACGCGATTGAAGACTTAGAGTGCTTCGACCGATTCACATTGGTAGCTGGAGCGATCTGTTCACGGACCACAGTTATCACCCATGGGACCGCCTGGCGGGGGACGCGGCGCAGCAGCAGCAGGACGAGAGGACGGGCAGCCGCCCGCGAGTTTCATCGGCAGAGCCCCAGAGTTCGACGGCTCGATCGATGGCTACAGGACTTTCAGGAAGAAGGTGGAGATCTTCGCGGCGAGGGCTCGCGGACGCGAGCAGGAGAAAGGAGTAGGGCTCGAGATAATGCAAGGCCTGCGCGGCCGAGCGTGGGAGGTGGTCGAGGATATCGAGATCGGCGAGATCGAGAAGGAGAAAGGCTGGCAGACCATCATCCAGGCGCTCGACAGGGCATGCAAGTATGATCAGATTACGGAACTCCCGACGGACTTCGAGAATTTCTTCTTCAAGGCAGCCCGCAAGCCCAAGGAGACTCTGATTGATTATTTGACGAGGTTTCGGACATCAGAGCGGAAAGTGCGAGCACACGGCGTGATATTACCCGACAAAGTGCTCGGCTGGTTTCTACTACGGAGGGCCGGGCTCGACAAAGAGGGCAAGCAGCTCATCGTGAACCAGGTCGGCGACAACCTCTCACTGGACAAGGTCGAGGGCGAGCTGAAGAGGACGCTCGGGCTAGACTCGATGCCAAGCTCTTGAGCCAGTGCTGGAGCGGCAGCCTACCACCTGGACGACTACGAGGAGTTCGACGAGCAGGACGACGTCTACTACGAAGGCGACGACGAGGAGCACTACTACGATGATTACGGCGAGGACCACCAAGAGATGGGCCCGAGCTTCGATTCGGAAGCGGCCTCCTACAGCGAGACACTGACGAACAACCCCCCCATGCCAGACCAGGCGTACGACGTAGACCAATGCGATGAGATAATGGCAGCATGCACCGACGCGAGACAGAAGATGAACGACATGAGGTTGGCCAGAGGTTTTTACCCAGTCGTAGCTATGGTGCCGCCACCGACGAGGAGCACTGGAGCTATCATACCCTCACGGGCCCCTGCCGCCGGCAGAGGTCGAGGTGCGGCGCGAGGCGCGTCCCGAGGCCGGGCTACAGGAAGAGGTGCGACGGCTTCGAAGGGACGTGGCAAGAACCACTTTGCCAGCAGCTACGGAAATGGCGCAGCAGGACGTGGGCCACCTCACCCACCACCGAGAGCGACAGAAGAGACGATATGCCTACGATGCGGTGCTCGAGGTCACTTCGCCAAGGACTGCCCCCACGCGAGCAGGAAGAGGCAGAACGTCGGCGACGATTCCGCAGAGGCGCGGATGGTCACGGACGAGGCGGAGGACGTGTACAACTCTACCGAGCTCAACCCGTCGGAGGCGATGCACGATAGTGGGGCGACCAGCGTTACTGTGGGACACGAGACGCTCAAAGGATATTGCAAGCAGCTGGCCGCCAAAGGATTTCCAGTTAGCAAGATGAAGTTTTTCCCGTGTTCCAAGAACTTCAGGTACGGCAACGACTCGACCGGTGAGGCGACGGCGCGTGCAGTTGTCCCGTCTTTCCCTGGAGGCAAGTTTGTGGAGATTCTCACGTATGTGCTTCCTGGCTACACGCCTTTTCTG